AGCTTCAAGGTTCAACTTCTGTTTCTGATTACGTGGATGTGGCTCCTTTTAGGCTGTAGTGGTTCTGTAGTATGTATTATCATGGGGATACAGACTTTCTGAATCTCCACCACTCTCAGTATGGGGCACATGGCTACCACTAGGACAGAACCCCTCCTTCTAACAAACATAGCTACTTTCTCCACTATACAGATCTAATTTCATTAAATTGATAACAACTGATTTATGACATGTTTCAAATAAATCTTTTGGAATAACTGTAATCTGTTAGAAATATCTTTGAATTCTGGTGCTCTCAGAAAAGCTTTTTCAATGTCAAGCATTGATGTGTCAAACTCCAATACTGTTGATATTCCAAATTACTCTTAAATTGAGGTTAAACTGCTCCTCAAGCTCAAGCACAAGTTTCTGTAGTAAATAGCACACAAGTGACAAACCTCACCATTTTGCTTTGTTGTCTAAATGTGGTTACATCTCAATTGGAGACAACCTTCAGCACAGGTGCATAATGAGATTTTTAATAAGCTGCAGAGCCCCCAACACTTCTAGAATTATATTCCTATATAAATTTGAAGTGTGACTTATTAAAAAATGAAATGTTGCTTTAAAGCAACAGCATCATATTTAAACCATCAAAGTGTAGAGAGCAAACAAAATGTGGTCAATACTATTATAGCAATTCTGCCTCTAGAGGGCATTACAAGCTAAATGTTATCTCTGACGAGTGTTGAGTGTTATCTTGGATCAGCCCAGAAGATTTAAAATCATTTAAGTTATGACATTTTCTGTGTTTACAACATCAGCTATGAAGGGGCCAGCAACTCTGGAAGATCTTTAATCCACAAAGCAACAGCAGAAAGCTTTGGTAAGAAAGCATGTTATCAGATGTTTCCAAACAGCCCCAAAACATTTCATGATGTTAGATCCTGTGAGTAACCTTCAGCACATAAACATGCTCAAGTGTAATGTCTTTTCCTGAATCCCTTTTAAGTGCTATGATTCCTACTGGTGGTTAAACCTAAGATCATCAGGACATCGGTCATTAGCAGAGTTGTTTGGAGTCCTTGGCACCTGCCACGCAGGCCAACACAGAAATAAAGACTGTATTGTTTGACTCTGTAAGGTGGTAAGACAGCAGTGGGTGTCCAAGTATTAAGTTCCAGGTTTTTTACACATTAGACAAAGACATATCAGCAATAGTGACATATCAGCGATATTCTGTTAGGCAGACAGTATTACCAGTTCTTCACAGTATGTGTTGCTTCCTAAAGACATTCGATAAGTTACTTCAGCCATGCAGCATGAAAATGCCTAGCAGTACTTTTTTTTTTCCTTTATGAAGGAGGATTAAATAAGTTACAGATCACAAAAAGTATTTGTGTTTCAGAGGTTGAAAAGCAAGCACCATGCAGCTCAAGCAGTAGGCTGAAAGCCAGACTTTATTACTGTAGGAAACAGAAACAAGGTTGATTTCATATCGTCCAGTATTGACTCTATATCTTTTGCTACATTTGTTCAATTACAATTGACTGAATTACATTTAATGAAGCAATTACAGTAATTGCTCTTTTTATAAAGACTGATGCACAATTTCCTATATTTTTCCTTTCCCTGGCACCTTTGTGATTCCTTTTGATATTCAGGTACTGTTGTAAGTAATTTGCTAAGTGTCATAGCCAGCTATATTTACAATTTCTAAAATTGTAAATATATTCCAGACTCATTGAGATCCATGAATTCTTTTCAAAATTTTAATTTTCTTTTCCCAGTGCCTTTATGTATAACATCCTGCTTTTCTAAGATTTTGAATTGCAAGACAAGATTGTACCATATCCTACAACACAGAGAAAAGCTTCTCAAAAAGATGTGCCATTCAGTATTAGTATGCTAAGGAACAGTAATTTTAATACTAAGAAAAAATATATTAAATCATTTTAAATACATTACTTAGACATATTAAAATAATTTGATAATTAAAAGTGATAAACTACATCAATAAGACGATAATAACCACAAATAAAGTAAAATAACTTACACAGTCACCTAACGCTTATATTGATAGACAGACTGGTTATATAATGACATCATCAAAATCCTTCCTGTATTATTCACAGTATATTGCAGTGAATATTTCTTAAAATATCAAAACTCTAGCTTAAAAATCTTTAAACAGTGTGCTATATGCAGACACGTTTATTGAAACAAGAAACCACAACAACATTTTTTTAGTCAACACATTCCTTGCCTTGCCACAGAGGATTAACATATATAAAGGGTGGTATATCCCAGAATGTCAGAAGTGAAGTCGATTCCAGGGCTGAAATTTATCTTTTATTTCCTTTCCTGCTTCCTATGCTGGCAAGTGTTCCTGAAATTTGTAACTCCTATTTGGAAGTTTGAACTAAAAATAGTCAAGATCTATCTAAAACTTCATCAACTTATATGCTTTATATCTAAAAATTTCTGTAAACTAATTCTCTCTTCCCTCAATGAATGTGTTTATCTGCAATGCAAGACAGTAATAACAGCAAAATCTCTATAGAAAGTCAGAATTAGTAGAGGTCCCACTAGAATAAAATGATTTATATAAATGTTTAGACAATCTTGCATTCTGACAGAGACTTTACAGTGATTTCCTTATAATTTCGGGATATTTTTGCTTTTTCACATTGAATTCCGTTGCGTAAATAAACTACGAACTTTCTGCACAAGACTAAGATTAACGAGCGAAGTCATCTGATCATCTGCCCAGTAAAGCAGTGATTGAATGGAAGGTGTCATTTCCTCTGGCATAAGCTAAATATACTTTATGAGAAACAAAAGGACTCATGTGCTACCAAATGGCCACACAAAATATTTTGGATGTTATACGCCCACTAATTAATAAATTCTATATGAACTCCCATTAAAGAAAATTAAAGAACTTCCCTATGAAATGTATTTGGCTACAAACAAACAAATAGCAGGTAATATTGTTGCTACTTGATTAACTTTGTGGATGTTTATTAATCTAATAAAATTAATAGATTTATTTGTATGTAAGAAGGCTCCTGGAAAGTACGTAGCTACTTATAAACTAAAAATAAGTAATATTTTTTTCAAAAGAGGAGGAAGAATTGAGTATGTGTAAGACAATGAAAATAAATTGCAAGTGTTGATTTAAACTTTCATCTCTTCTGCAGACTCCTAGCTGTGAAATACCACAGCTAGTGCAATGCTGGTTTGCACTGTAGGCTTTGTTTAGTCCCGAGGTCAGAGATATTGAAAGGAAGGGAGAGAAAGAAAAATTAATCTGATAAGGGCATTGTCATTTCTAATCGGACTGATGGGAAACTGTGATACAGAGTTGAAGAGGCAACATAGAGTGAGTTACTGTGAAGTGATGAACTACCTGAAAGCTGAAGCAATCAAATAGATAGCTCTCACATATAAAAATTACTGTTGCATCCTTATTCATCAGTGGTTTTGCACAAGTCTCTCATGCTCGGTCCCTTCCGTGAACAAGTAAAGCACTCCGAGACATTTAGTCAGATTAAAGCTTAACAGGAAGATTCAGCCATTGATGTGGCTGCTTCTCACTTTGCAGAATTAATCTCTTGTTGCTGAGCAGAAGAATAAACATTTCAAAGCTTTAACATGAGAAATTCAAAAATTACAAAAGATAGTAATGCTCAATACTACATTCCCATGTGGCATTTGCAGTCTTCTCTGCCCAATGGCTGCAGTTATAACCTGCTTTAATGGAACTGAAGGTGGTATCACTCTTGTGAATGATAACACTGAAACCTTTTTTCAGTATTGTTTCACATAGTCTGATGGCTGAAAACCTGGGAAATCAAAATTTTTGACTCCTAGTGCAGAAAGCATAGTAGACATTTATACAAACAGGAATTACACCTGTCTTCTTGTTCATTTGGAGACCATAAAAATCACATTATAAAGATTCAATAACAAAAAGCCTACCTTTGAGTAACTGATTCATGTACTATTCAAATATATTTGATTCAAACATATTCAAATGATATGACAAGATTCTCATGGTATCCCAGGGAATTCAGGAGAAAAGTCTTGAAAACATACCATCCACTCACATAATTTGAAGAAATACCTTCTGATCTGGTACTGAAAATGCTAAAGTCTTTCCAAAATGCTGAGTGGAGTCCTTTTAATTTAATGGTACTTGGAGATACCCAAAATTTTGCAGGATTGCCTGCTAGCAAATGCAGCAGTCAGGTATCAGATTTGTGTGGTCACATATGCATTCAACTTTCCCAGGCCTTACATGATTATATTCCCATGTATCAAATTTGCTTAACCCAGAATGAAGAGTAAACATATTGCTAGAGATGAAGAAAAGTACAGTAGTTTTAGAAAAATTTATTTAATTATAAGTTGTATATATAGTTAAAATTGTAGATTTTCAACAATTAAGTTATCCACTGATAAGATCCTCCCACAGAGGAGTTCAAGGGATTTAAAATACAACCTTCCATGTAAATAGCTTATTGAATTTTATTGAATGGAGAAATGGATCGGTATACATCCAAGATGAATGTACCCTGACACTAATGGTGAACCAGATCCATTTATAGATGTCAGAAAAAAGAACACATGTAACTTTCAAGCCTAGATTAACCTCACTTATAAACCTGTAATACACAGAATGTGTATAATCAAGTCTTTTACTTGATTACACTGGGTCTAGTATCATAAAACATTTATACTCAAATAATACCTCTTTGGAAAGCATTTTCAAGAGTCATCCAGTTTTCCTAAGACATTACATTTGCCAAATCTGCAAAAAGGTCTCTGATCAATGTGGAATGCTGTATTACCTAAAGATATAGCCAAATCAAGTAACAGTACTTCAGATACAGTATACATCACTTTACAAAAACAGTGATTTATGGAGTATTCAGACAAAAAACTGATTTCATTTTGCTGAATTACATTTATTGCTCACTTACTAGGAGTGTTCTATTCTGCAGTTTACAGGATGATTAAACTATTTGCCCAGCTCTGGAATAAGTTTTTCCAAACTTTTCAAAAAGAACGATCGATGGTAACACTGTTTGAAAGTCCTAGAAAAATAAGAACACAACAACAAAAAACATTAAGTTTATCTTCAATAACTTTAGCTCTTGCTTTTTAAAATATCTTAGATCTATAAATATTGCCTTCCAGTCAAATTTCACTGTTCAAATCAAAATGTAAATTATGAAAAAATATGTATATATGAAATATATATTTTACATAGTATGTACATTATTTTGGAGAAGAAATCAGGAATTCACTGATTGAATGGCAAGCTGTACATAACTATAAGCAATGTGAACACTTCCTGTCCTACAAGCTAAATTTTAAAGATTAGCTGAATCATGGTATTCAAAATTATATCCTGAGTTCTGCCCTGGGAACCACTTAACCTAAAGACAGCAAGATATCCTAGCAATATTTCATTTTTTTCTATCATGGTAAAAAAAATCATAGATATTAAATCAGCTCAAGGATAAAGATTAAAAAATAATATATATTAAATAAGTATTGATGCCACCATATTGATTTATAGTAGAAAACACACAGGCAGGCTGATTCCTGAGCACTTTTTATCCAAAAGCTCTTTGACCTTTTGAACATATTTCATGAATAATTTGAAAAGTTTGGTTTTCTTTTAAAAACAGGATGATTTGATTTTTTTTTTTTTTTGAGAGAGGTGACATGAAGCAGACTAACCATTCTCTGGATATTTTTTATTTCACTGAATGCTATAAACAAGTAAAGCAACCATGACTTCAGGCAAGCTCCATACAAATACAGACATGGTCTATCTAATTTTTATCTGCACTGCAGATTGCCAGACTTTTAACCACATCATTTCTTACATCTCATAACTTAACATTTTTTTATATGATTCCTCAGTCAAGTGCAAAAACAGCAAGTTATATTTATACATTCAATATTAACTACTCTCTGTATGTTACAAAGTGAGCACTACCCAATTCTTAACTCTTCACAGATTTAATTTTTAATGTTACTCTATGACTTGAGCTTCTCAATTTCCTACAGACTGAAAGAGCCTATTTGCACGTTTTATTAATATACTTTAAGAATGAATAGTATTTTCATTGTATTTCTGTCATCACAAGCACCTTACTGATGCAGGAAAAGTAATCTATATAATTATTATAGGAAGTATTATTATATCTTCTGCATAAGTGTAACTTCCTTCTAAACATAAAAGTTATATTTCATTCAGTAAAATTACTGGAATAATATTGTTGACAAGAATGGAATAAATACTTTAAAAGAAAGCTTTAGTTGCAAAGAAGACAAGCAGATATTATAGTTATAATTTAGGATTATTCGGTAATTCAGAGCAGAATTCGCTATTCTTCATTTTGTGAACAGGAAATATATTTTTAATATTCACACAGTACAATTAGGTGCAGTTTAATAGATCAGTAAAAAGAAGCAGAGAACCTGGGGGGAGATGGGGAAACCAGTAAAAGGTGTACACCCCCGACATCAGGATAAAATCAGGAATGGCAAGCCTGAGCATTGGAGAAGTCTTCATTTGCTAGAGCAGACGGCTTTTGCCATTAGGATGCCTGGCCAAACAAAAACAATTGGCTGCCAAAATTAGCTCCTTGGGACGATTTAGGAGCCTTTGAAGTAAACAGTTTTTTTGAGCTGGAACTAAGCCCAGGTCCAGCTTCAAACTCAAATTAAAATGACAAAGAGGAAATTTTCAGTGCCACACGCCCCCTCAGTGTAAGATTACTTTGGGTTGGCAGCTGTACTGTTTATCTTGTTATTTAAAGCTATTTCACAAGATACTCACAACTGAGCATTTAAACAACTGGCTTTGATTATGACGACAGCGGTTATGTTTGACTACATTTAGGAAACATCACACAGACTGGCGGGTAAATAAATTGTTGCTGGCTGAACAGTTAGGCCAATTAAAGAAGTTTACAATGAATACTGGATAAATGTTGCACGATATGCACACAAAATACAAATATATATTTTATGGGGGAAAATAACCCTATTTATTTCTTTGTTTATTTAAAGATACAGATTCTAATCAGCTTTCAGTGATGTTATAAACTAAGGCTTAAAATGCCACTTAGCCTTTCAAGATCTGCCTCATGGTGCTGAAGAGAGTCCATCCCACTATATCATTGTAGAAGCAATAGAGGGAAAAGAATCAGAAGCCAGGATCTTCTGTTTCTCTAAATTGGTGGTAAAATATAGTTTGGAGATCTTTAGTTAAAGGACTGCAAGGCCCTGTTGGTTGATTCTGACGAACTGATGTACCTAGCCCTGCCAGGATCATCCAAATTCAAGATAATTGCTGCATAGCATAGAAGGTATGTATAGGTATGTCCTTCATACTAGGTATGTAGTCAAAAGGACTAGGGATGTCCTTTTGAAACTGCAAGAACAAAAAGTGTTAGTAGATTCAAACAGGCTTGATCAGCTTTACTTTCATCCTGCCAATCCCTTGTTTGTAGCTGGAATGAATTAGTTTACAAATATGAATTCTCACATACCTTTGAGACTGACTGTACACTTTCTCAGTCTCAAGATCATAGGAGCATAAGGTGAGCTTTATGGAATTCTCTGCCACACATTCTTAAATTGTACCATGTAATGCTGAGGATCAGAAGACCTGTAATTCTCAGTGCCTGAGACCTATTTTTAGCAGACCAAGACCAAGTTAATATATCACTTCCTTTTTAAACTTGTCAAACTTTGACTCCTTTCACTCTAGTAAATTGTAAGTGACTGTAGTCCAACTGACAGAGTTTAACAAGACCTAGGGACCCCTTCAGTGTATTTGACTACTTGACTGTCATGTGCGCTCATCAGTCCTGGACAATGGAGTCAAAAAAAGGTAACATGAAGCTACCAAACACAGATTTGTCTTGATCTGAACACTATGATATCATAGATTAGACTTGTCAAAAAATCCTTAATAAATGCTCACCGTTTATGTTTGGAATGTTTCCCTTATAGGTTAGAATTCCCTTACAGGTTAGAAGCAGTAAGTGAAGTGGTTTACCGATCAGGAATATAATCTCCATAAGGAAGAATATTCTTTCTGTACTGGTGATTCGGTCCCCTTCTGAGCCAACCCAAACAATCACAGGAGACACTGTGTAATTGCATGATTCCCACTGTGCTAGGCAAATGGTAAACCATTCTGTTCAAGGCTTGGATCTCACAAAAACCTTTTTGCAGAAAAACAATGGGCTCTTGCTCCAACAGAGAACTCCATTTGTAGGTAATTTCTCTAAAAATCAACAGCAGAAGGAATAACTGAAATAACTGAAAAGTGGGCACAGCTACTCGAATCCTCATGCTACTGCAGAGTGAAAATAGAGAATAAACCACACTTTTTCTTAGCTTGAAACTAATATCTACAGATACATATCAAGATTTTACATGATTTGATATAAAATTCTGCATAAAAAACCCTGGTCTGGTTATGTCCTTACTGTATGAAAAAGACACTGTGCATCTCCTCGTCCTTCCTAAGCTGGGCACAGATACGCACCTCCTCCGACAAGCAGGCTGCACTCCCAGGTGCTGTTGTATAGCCACAGGCCACAACCCCTTATGTTTAATGGTAAGTGTTCCTATTAAAGTAGCCTTATGATCCTACTGCTTGTAACGGTAAAATTAGAGTTTTAAACTGAGCTGTCATCATAAGCCTCCTGACCTATTAATAGCCACAGAGGTCTCTAGAAAGGAAGCAAACCAGAAATGGCAAGGTGCTATACAAGTAAAATGTTGATCCAGCTAACTTTTACTCTTAGCAAATTTATCAATACTGGTTAACAATACTTCCAACTAGTAGAGGGCCTTCTGACATGATAAAACGAGTGTAACAACCCATTCTGTCAATACAACACAAATGTCATTTCAAGTGCTCAAAACCCACTAAGCTACCCTAAAAAAGATTGATTTATCTGCTCCAGTGTTTCTTTGGGGCAAACTTTTCTCACAACTGAAACCAATTAGTGGGCCTGGCACTTGTAGTGCAGAATGTAGGTCAGCATCAAGTAATAAAAAAGTATTGACTTTTCTCTGTCTGTAAGCAGCATGAAAGGGGTGCCATGGCCTTGTCGTATATGAAAAGAGCTCCATTAATTTCACTTATTTCAACCAGGGCTGTCAAATACTAATGCTTCTATTGCACTTTTCACACAAAGTACATTGACACCAATCCTGGCCCCAGTGAAACAAGTTTACAATATTTCAGTCAGTGAAAGGGGCACAATAATTTTTAATTCCCAGTTGTACATTTAGCCTCCTCAAGCAGCATTGCCCATAAGACCTATTGAGAGATTTAAGCTGGGACATTAATAATGGCTACACACTTCTTCCCATGGGCAACAGAGCCTATTTCTTGGGTACAGCTTCAACAGCTAATTAGCTGGAAAGTTCAGGGCACGGTTGTGTGCCGTGACTCTGTTTTTGTGGCTGGTGGGCACAGACTGCCAATTCTGCTGTCCGATATGGACTAATGTCCAAAAATCAGGAATAGGTCTTCTATGACTTAAGGCTACAAAAACGAAAAGCTAATGTTGTAACAAATTGGGTCAACTGGCTCCTTCAAATAAGAGATAATAACAAAAGCCTGGATCATGCCTTAGGGGCTGGATCTCATTGTGTCAACGTAGACGTATTGACTTGCAGGGAGACATGTGCCTAACTGCTGTTCCACTGCACTGAAGTGGCCACCTGACCACTGCTGTGGTGAAGGGGGCAGAATTTTGCCTTTGCCTGTACAGCTTGCCAACACGGAGCCATCATGTCCTCTTTGGACTGTCACCAGTTCTTAATGCTCTATGTTTTGTTCATTTGGGTAAATGCAAGGAATGAAAACTTTATGAGCTTCTACATAATATGGAACAACACATCACTCACCAAACTGGCCTAAAGTATTACAATCCAGCTCCATCTCTTATCTGCAATTTCCCTCCTTAACTGGCTGCTTTTTTTTTCGCAAGTGAAGTTTACGGTTCTTTTACGGCTCTGAGTGCGATGTCTAACTCATTTTCTAATTACC